AATATTTTAAATTTTTAAATTTTAATTTGTACGTATAATCTAAAATATAAAGCAGTAAGAATGTTTTTGCTGCTCTGTAATTTTTAGAAAATTGATAGCCAATAATATATTATAATTTATGTTTTTTATTAACTTCCCGATAGGCCACTTTTTATTGAGATCCGATCAATTCACTGACAATCATCTCATAGACACCACATTTCACCACTAACAAGCTCATTTTACTGACAGCATATTTCACTGAAGCTCATTTCAAAAAGTCTTGTTAGTGAAAGTATAGTTTCTATCCATTATCCATTTATCCATTTATCTATTGGATATTCAAATCTGAATTTATTCAGATATCCATTTTACTATTGATATCTGGATAATTATCCGAATATTTGTCGGATTATCTAGATACCAATAGTAAATGGATATCCGGATTGGACCTCTAAGTGAAAGAGCTTCAGTAAAATAGACTGTCGGTCAATTACATGAGCAACGTAATTGGTAAGATTGATACAGTATTATACTCAAAATACTATATCAGATTATATATTAATTATCCAATTATGCTGTATATAGTTACTAAAATTTTTTAAATTTAATCAAAATTATAATTTTAATTACTGTATTTTGTAATTACAGTATATTAAATAATTATAAAAATATTTTTAAAAATTTATTTGTATAATTTTATTATAAAATTTTAAATTTATTATTTTATATAATAAATCAAAAGTTTAAATTACTTGTTTCTTTTATAAATCTTATTTATATATTCCAAAAATATATCTTTTTTAATAATATTTTCATCTAATTGAGAAATTAATCCAACTAAAAATGTATGAGAATCTTCTTCATATTCTCTATACAATTTCTCAATATTTAAATCTTTATAAATTTGTTTAATAATTAAAACATCTTCAGAATTTTTTTTACCATAATGTTCCTGTCAAATATATATTAGTTAATTTTTATTAACTATTTAAAAGGTATTATTTAAAAATATATATATACTTACACTTAAAAGTTTAAATTGTTCAGGTGATGCTATCAACAAAGCCTGATTAATACACCAAGAACATTTATTGTCTTCAATATCTGTTCCAATTTTTCCAATTACTTTTGGATCACCAAAACAATCAAGATAATCATCCTAAAAAATAATATACTATTAATAAATAAATCTCATAATAATAAATAAAGGGAGTTGTTATTGCCACCCCACGTGATATATAGACTATTTGTTGCAGATCTCAACTTTGAGCGAAGATATATCGATAACTACTCGCTTCAAATAAAAAAATTTAGCCATGTGGTTGTCAAGACATCTTCGCTCAAAATTAGAAACAAATCAAAACACCTATCAAAATAGAAGCTGCGCCAAATTTTCTCTAACTTTGAGCGAAGATATCTCGATAACTATCTGACCAAATTCGATAAACCTTTTTTGTATTTGATCCTATAGATTCATAGAATTCAAATTATCGAATTTAGTCAAGTGGCTATCGAGGTATCTTCACTCAAAATTAGAGAAAAATAAAACGCCTATCAAAATATAAATTTTCTCTCTAACTTTGACGAAGATATCTCGATAACGGTCTGTCCAAATTCAATAAAATTTTTTATTTCACTTCTATGCATTCACAAAATTTAAATAAAAAAATTTCATTGTATTTAGTCAGTGGATGTTGAGATATCTTCGTTCAAAGTTAGAAAGAAAATTTGTCGTAGATTCTATTTTGATACGCATTTTGATTTTTTCTTTGAGCGAAGATATCTCGACAAACACTTGATTAAATGCGATGAAATT